TTTCACTCCAACAATTACGCAGATAATAACTGTTTGCAGTAACACTGCAAACAGTTATTATTGGCGTGTCAGCAATACAGCAACATACCTGAGTAGACATTGTTAGAAGAAGTTCAGCATCAGCAAATCGGTTTTCAGTCGACCCACGCCGCAAAAGTTCCACAGCAGAGGCTGCAATATAGTCATCATTCCTACTTTTGATCTTGCATATGTGCACATTCAATTAGATATGTTAAAACAATAAAGTCATGGAGAAACGAAACCAAACTCACAATCAGAGGACGGCTCAAACACAGTGGTGATATCAGCAGGGATGAACATTCGCTCATCGATCTCTCCTTTCCGAAGCATTATACCATTGTATGCATCATTGAGAGAATTCCTACAAGAAACTAAGATTTTTACCACATCCATAAAAAAACGAGAAGGGGATTACTTCAAAAGACCTATGAAAGAAAAGAAAACATATATAACTCGCGTAAGCAAAGAAGTAACTCACAGATAACGTTCAATGTTCGTCTGTAGGTCCAAATCTTTATGTTTCAATGACGGTAATATGCTTTCTCGCTTGACATTGAACCAATGTGTCCGAAAATGTTTCGCATCAAGCAGCACTCCATCAAATGATCTACACAACACCTCGAGCACCCGTACTCCGTCTTTATTTTCCATCATGTGGATAGCTGAACGATGTTAAAGTAGATACATTATCAATGACTAATAAATTGAGGTTTACCTGATTCAGGTTCGACGTGGTCTTCACAGTCATGAAAGCAGAGATCTTTGTATACCCATTCAACTATACATAAGAGCATATGAAAGCAAGTCAATAGATCCTCACTGGGTAAGGATTCTGTAAATTAAAAGTGGATGGATTGTAAAATGGTATACTAAAAAAACTTACTTTTCATTATTATAACAGTTAACCAGATAAATGAAAATAAACTGTATGAATCGAACGTCTGGCTTGAGCTTGAAGGAACATATTGAAAGAGACTGCGAAATATTGGTAATAGCTTCTTGTAGATCACAACCGAAACAGCCAGAGATGACTGAAAAAAATCAAGTTAGGGAACAATCGCACTTCAGAGAGCATATTCACAATCAGAAATCAGTGAAGTTTTGCAGGTGATACCAAAACTTCTGTAGTGTGCACGATAAGTTGGTAGTGTTATCAAAATGGAAACCAACTTGAATTTTGAACGAATGCTCTTGAATCTTCTTTGAAGAGGTAGCAATATCAATCCAGCGGCCCAATTTGTCAAAGAACTCCATTACGCTGCAAATAAAAAAATTTTGAAGCTAAAAAAACTAGGAAGACAAAAAAACTAACAAACAGCAAGTGACCAAAGCGAAACAGCAAATCATACACACCTGACGCTGCATATTTTGAGGATACTCAGGATAGAGTATGAGAAAGGCCGAGAATTGAACTTTTCCATTTCCAACATAACACAGTAGAAAGCACAAGGGACATATGCTATAGTCTCATCCTGAAGCATGTAAATGAGAACCCTATTTAGTACCGCAAAAAAAGTTGAACAAAATTAAGTAGAACAGAAAAATGTGAGAAGGTTGCAAAGCAAAATCATCATCAACTTACATCCAGATCGACCTTCTCGGTCATCGTAAATAGCTGAGCCCAGACAGCGTCTCTCAGC